CCACCGGTGCACTGCACGCGCAAAGCTGACGATGGAGTGCGGCAGATAGGAGCGGGGGAAGGCAATGTGTATGGCGATGAGTATGTGCGAGTGTGTTGTGGTTGTAAGGAGACTGAGGGTGAATTGCTGATTGGGACATGCTCGTGGTGGTGCAGCACTCACTGGTAGAGGAGTCGGAGATACGTCGCTGTCGTCTCTGCATCGTGATATCCGTCTGTGCATTTCCCAGAACGAAGATGAACACAAACAAGCACAAACAGCGCAAGAGATGGCAGCGGACATGACGCATTCAAGCACTGAACACCTCATCACACACGCGCGTGAAATGCACCACCTACGCACACAGACACCCACACACCATACCAAGGCCGAGGAAGACGCTGGTTGTTGTGTTCCGCATGACATGGAAGGCGGACGCCGGAGCATGCGAGAGAAGTGCTTCCAACGCCAGCGGGGCCTCGGGGTGCAGGTCAAGGCACCTGTGGGTACGCGTGCGTGTTTGCGCAGGAGCATGTGGATTGTGTGACCTACAATGCAAGTGCACAGAACGACAGCCAGCCAGCAGCCAGTCAGAGAGCCACACACACACACACACAACACACACACACAAGCAGTGACCACGACCAAGAACGCCATCATCTTCGTTTGACCTGATGTACGCGGCAATGCGACCGACAAGCACAGGCGCAGCGCTGCCGATGAGCGCAAACCGCGATGGACAGCGACACGCGCGCGCAACGGTGTCGAGCGCAGTGATTGCGGCGTGGTGGACGACGATGTTTGGGGACGCGGCGTGGAAGAGGAGGCAATACAGGGCCTCTGGCAGCTTGCTGCTGAACGACGGACCAAGCACCTGGGGCCAGCCGACGGCGTTTGCGGTGAGAGGTGGTGAACAATGATGCGCGGGGTGCCATGTGAACTCAGGCAAAATGGGTTTGGGTAGCAACAGTGGGAGCAAACAACAGCAACAACAAGAACAACAACAGGAACAACAAGAACAACAACGTAAACAACAAGAACAAGAACAACAAGAACAAGAACAACAAGAACAACAACAACAACAACACGGGAGCATCGCCACCCTCGCTCTCATCAAGAGCGAATGGCACACGCACCGTGGCTGATTGCGCCAATGCCTCCAGTGCCGTACACACCGCGAGAACATTTGTTCGCAGCTCCTTTGCTGTCAGGCGGCGGTGCGCAGCACTTGCTCGCGCTCGTGTGTCAGCCTGTGCATGAAGCAACATCGACTGCAGTGTTGATGATGATGATGACGACGAAAGTGGTGCTGAAGGTGGCGTTGCCGGCTCATGCACAGACTGTGCGGGTGCAACGACGGGCAGCGTGTGCCAGTATGGTTGCATCGCCAGTGTGTAGAGCCGTTGAGCAGCAAGCCGCCAGCCTGGCTGCTGCTGCTGCTGCTGCTGCTGCTGTTGCTGCTGTTGTTGTTGTTGTTGTTGTTGTTGTTGTCGTTGTTTGGTCTCCTCCATCCCTTCATCTACTGCCCTCGTCTTCTGCTGCTGCCTCTTTGGCATATACACATTCACTGCCGTGCACCAGAACGATGGGTCATCTGGCGATTGCATAAACACACGCACACTGCTCAGCCCCACAACATCAAACCCCTCTTCTTCTGCTTCCCTTGCGGCTGGTGCTGCTGCCGTGGGTGTTGACGCACTGCCGTCAGCGCTGGTCATGTGCGTGTGTTCTGCGGTTGCTCGGTCATCGAGCATGCGCATGAGGATGGTGGCGAGGGACGGCTGCTCTCGTATCTGCTCCAGCGGGTGGCGCAGCACAGCCGTAAACACATCTGCACCCAACACAACAACAGCAACGCAGTGATGGCAGAGAAGGCAATCGAGCCAAATCAGTACGCCCTGTTCCACACAGACACAGACAGACAGACAGACAGGCAGGCAGGCAGGCAGACAGATAGACAGACAGACACACAAACATGGCGTCAGTGACAGGCGCACCTCTCAGACAGCTTGGATGCTGTGCAAGACGGCGGCAGACGAGGTGTGCAGCGGCAACCACGTCGTCACTGCGATGATATTTGTACACCTTCTTCAATCCACCACCACTACCACCTTTACCTTTACCACTACCACCATCACCATGGTCTTGTGTACCGGTATCTCCGCGCCTCTGGTCTCCTTGATCACCACCGCCACCATCATCATCATCTTCCGTGCCCTCCCCGGCTCGCGTGGATGCCAGCGCGTCTGCCACCAGCGTATCGTACTCTTGCACGTCAAACGCAAGCACCGTGCACATGCCACCCACAAACTGCTTGATGCCGTTGCCGGAACGCAGCGCGGTGATCGTGGGAGGACTCAGCAGGCGAAAACATCCAGCCAGGCGCCGCAGCGAAAACAAAATGTCCTCATCGGACCCTGTTCGACAGCACCGGGGCAAGCTCACCAGCGTTTGGCGCAGCACACGTTGCATGGCCGCCTCCGCCCTCTTGGCAACGTGGCGTCGCACCCGACGAGCAGCCACACTCAGGCCACACGATTGGTTTTGTTGCTGCTGCTGCTGCTGCTGCTGCTGCTGCTGCTGCTGTTGTTGTTGTTGTTGTTGTTGTTGTTGTTGTTGTTGTTGTTGTTGTTGTTGTTGTTGTTGTTGCTGCTGCTGCTGCTGCTTCTCATTCGCGTGCAAGTTGGGTCCATCAACCGGCTGTACGAGCGCTGCGTATGCGTCTGCAGCCGCTGCGCACACCCCAGCGCTGTCGTCTGTCATTGCGGTAAGCAGCGTCTCCATGGCGGGTTCTGTCACGGTTGGCATGTGTACAGCACACGTACGCATGAGAGCAAAGGCGCACAACACACACGCCAAACGCACGCGTGCGTCCTCGTGCCGTTGAAGCGTCTTCAGCACCAGCGACACCCGAAGCACCACGTTCTTTGCCGCCTGCTCCCACCACGACTGATCCAGGTCGACATGCAGCTCCCTGATACGCTCCTCTTTGGCACCGACACCGCCGTCATCAGCACCGTCGCCCATACGCCGCGTGTCCTCACGACTCGCCTCGCCAACAGCGCCGTCGCCGCCGCCGCCATTATTGTCGTCATCGTCGTCGTTGTTGTCATCAGTGTCTGAGGATACCAAGGTGAGGCGGGACAAGGTGGCTTGCACGTCGTGGTTGTCGTCGGGGTTGCTCGCTGCTTCGGGAGGAAGCAACGGTGCCGGAGGAGTGGCGGTGCCAAGGAGGGACAAGAGAAAGGTGAGCAAGTCCAGGCTGGCTGTGGCCAGTGAGCTGTGGACATAGGCACCCTGCGTCACCAGCTTGGTGATGGACGAGAGGATGCCCGGAACTGCAAACGCGAGCGCTTTGGCGTTCTTGGCCGCGAGAACAAGTGTGCAGCGGATGGCAGCGAGTGCCTCGGCCCGAGTCCGGATCTGCAGGCCAGTGTCCTCGCTCTTGGCAAGCAGCACGTAAATGATGTAGCCCATGAGCACGGGCTGCTCGCTCAGCGCACACGCCAGCTCGTGGTGTCTGTCAGTGGTACTCATGTACGCGGAGAGGGCGGCCAGCGTGATTTCCTCGGACGCCGACACACGCAGCTTCTTGCCTTGCATGATGTCTGCAAGGAGCGCAAGGTGCAGTGGGACATCCAGGGGTGTGGAGGGCGCCTTCTTCCTCTGTTGAGCAGCAGGTGCGGCTGCGTGGTTGGCGCTGTTGCTGTGGCTCATAGTGTGCTTGGCCTTGCCTTCCACGGCCGTTCTGGCCGCGTTTGCAGCCGAAGCCGCGTCGGCTGTGAGGCTGAAGAGGGAGGAAAGCCCTTGGATGGCCGCAATAACAGTGGCCTCGTTGGCTCGTGGGTGGCCGATGAGGGAGCGGAAGGTGGACGCCACGTGTGCGGAGATGCGCACGACCAGAGGCAGCTCCAGCTGGTCCAGCGCGTCAGCCAGCGCGCGTGTACTTGCAGCATCCACATGCTTCACCACACCTTGCAGGCGCTCCTCCAACAGCGCCAGTGAACCTGACATGACGCGTGCGTGCCGGTGTGTGTGTGTGGGGGGGGGGGAACCAAGGCCAATGTTTTCTGCGGCCCGGTGCCCGGTGTGTGTGTGTGTGTGTGTGTGTGTGTGTGTGTGTGTGTGTGTGTGTGTGTGTGTGTGTGTGTGTGTGTGTGTGTGTGTGTGTGTGTGTGTGTGTGTGTGTGTGTGTGTGTGTGTGTGTGTGTGTGGTGTGCTGGCTGAAGTTCGCGCGTTCCGTTGGCTGCTGAAATTTGACTGGTACCTTTTACAAATCCTCCCAACTTACGACGAGCAGATATGGCGGAAGAGACCAAGCAGCAACAGCAGCGGAGGTTGCTGGACTTGGCTGGGGAGGCCAAGCTCCGGTGCGTGTTGGTGGTGTTGTCGTCGCTGTTGTGCAGTGCGTGGCAAAGTTTGGACGTGGGATGAATATGGAATGGGCGAAGGGTGGTGTGTTTGTGTGGTGTCATCGTGCACACTTGTGTGCACACTTGCGTGTGTGTTTGTGTTGGGTACGGTTATTTTGTTTGCCTTGCAAAAGTGCTAATTTGTCTTTTCGTCTTGTTTGTTGCTGTGCTTGGTGCAGGGTAAGCTCTGTGCTGAATGGCGATGGAAAGCAGTTTGGGAAGAAGTTTCTGCTGGATGATCGCGAGGACACGTGTTGGAACTCCGACCAGGGCAGCCCGCAGTTTGTTGAGCTCAAGTTGGATGCTCCCGCGCAAGTGACACAGCTGGCCATCATGTTTCAGGGCGGCTTTGCAGGTCAGCCAGACGATGCTTGTGTGCTTCCTTTGTGGGCGCTGCGCTTGTGTGCGTATGCGTGTGTACGCGTGCCTGTGCGCATGTGCATGCGTGTGTGAGTGTAATGCGTGCTTGTATGCGTGCGGTTTTGTGCTTGTCCGAGTTCGCTGTGCATTCTTGCACCATCGTCACACGCGTGTGCTGTCAACTGTCTGTACATTTGATAGGAAAGAACTGCGTGCTGGAGGGCAAGGTAGACGGATCTAATGAGTACACAGAGCTGGGTCGGTTTTATCCGGACGATGTCAACCACGAGCAAGTGTTTGAGGGCGTGAACCAAGAGAACAAGAAGGTGCACATGCTGCGGCTCGTGTTCCCAGAGTCCACCGACTTCTTTGGCCGGATCACCATCTACACGCTCAAGATATACGTTGCAGCAGAAAAGAAGAAAGAGGAGGAAGATCAGTGATTTGTGGACTGTCCCGCTGTTTAGTTACATTGTCTTGCTTCAGGTGTTGCTGTCATCCTGTTTGTCCATAATCAATCTACCAGCCCACACTCTGTCCTTTGCAGAGGAATGCTTGTGCGTCGTTGCCAGTTTAGGGTCTCGCGAACGCTCAACACATCCATCCAATGGCCATCAATACAGTACAGGAAATACATGGCAATAGGGGGCAGTCAATTATGAGACTAAAGGAGAAAGCAAGGGGAGGGCAGGAAGTCAGGGAAAGGCCTAAGGGAACAAGAACTGCGGAGGCAAACGACTGGGGTTTGCCTTTCAGCCAGTCACGTCAGGGAATGGGCAGGAGCAGAGAGCGCACGCAAAGAGACAAATACGGTGGAAAAGAAAAGAGAGAGGGAGCAGGTAAGCACAACTATTGTGGCGGCGATGTGCTGACGTGGCTGGCGGTGGCGATATCGCCGGCATGCAGTGCTTCGTCTTGTTTTGCACTTGGGTATCCAAGCTGCTTGAGCAGTTCAATGTCTTCTTCACTCGGCTCCCTGCTCCGTCGTGTGTGTGTGTAGGTGCGTGCGTAGGTGTGTGTAGGTGTGTGTAGGTGTGCATATGTGTGTGTGTGTGGGTGAGTATATGTGTGTGTGTGTTTGAGTGTATGTGTGTTTGAGTGTATGTGTGTTTGAGTGTATGTGTGTTTGAGTGTGTGTGAGAGTGTGTGACAGAGAGAGAGTGTGTGTGTGTGTGCGTGTGTGTGTGAGTATATGTGCATGTGTGTGTGTGCATATGCGTGTGTGTGTGATATCAGTGAGTGATTTGTTGGAGGTGTGCGCACGAACACGGCAAGCAAGGAACACGTGGTGATGTATTTGTTGACACACGGCATTCACATGCACCTTTTGGTCATGTACTTGTCCGTGACAGCCTGTACATATTGGCTGGCAGCGGCAGAGAACCCGCGCGTGTGTGTCTTCATCTTATCAGTGAACTCGGGAACCTGCCATGTGCAAGTAACAGCAGTGATGGTGGATGGTGTGACATGGGTGACGTACATCACTGCGTGATGCGATGTGATGTGCATGGCCAAATGCAAGCAATGGATCACACAATGTGGAAAGCAGGCAATCACAGCGATGCTGGTTGCTCGTTGGGTGGGGTTGATGCGGAACACACGTGTGTGTGTGCGTGCGTGTGTGTGCATGTGTGTGCGTGTGTGTGCATGTGTGTGTGTGCATATGCGTGTGTGTGTGTGCGTGTGCGTGCGTGTGTGTGTGTGCGTGCGTGTGTGTGTGTGTGCGTGTGTGTGTATGTGTGTGCGTGCTCACCGATTGCACGTCCAGGGCTACGCTGGTGACGGCGACCGTGGTGACGCCCAGCGCCGCAACCATGCCTGTGGCATACGCCAATGCCTTTCGCGCCAGGTCCGCCGGATCCTCCTGAATCTCTCCAGTCTATCGCATGCATGCGGGTGTGCATGTGAGTTGGTCGATGATATCAGCGGCAGGAACAGCATCAAGTGAGGTGAAGTGGCGGTTTAATCTGCCGTACACACACACAGACACACACACACACACACAGAAACACACACACACACACAGAAACACACACACACACACACACACACACACACACACACACACACACACACACACACACACACACACACACACGCAGACACATCAGCACGTATGTGGAGAGCATGTACCGCCTTGGCTGCATCGAGGAGGTCTCTGTTCAGGGCCTTGGCTTGCCTCATGCTGCGACGAAAAGCGAGGAAGAAGCTGCCAACGCCAACCGCAAGCAAGCCAACCGCAGGTGCAAACCGCTGCCACGCAGGTGGCGTCTCCTCCAGCACATCCACGTCCTCGTCCCTGCCATGGTGCTGCTGCTGCCCGTGCTGCGGCGGTTGCTGCTGCTGGGTCTGTGTCATGCCTTGTTGTTTGTATTGTATTGTTTGGATTGGTGGTGCGGCGTGCGCTGGGTGGAGGTTGATTGGAAGGGAAGTGGTGGAGTCAGCAAAAACAACAACACACAACACGCAAGCAAGCAAGCAAGCAAGCAAACACAAGCAACAAGCAGTGATGATGTTCAGTGTGGTGTTGTGTGCGGCGGCGCTCGTCGCACTCGCTGTGGTGCCGGCAAACGCAGGGTCGCCACTGGCGTCCAAAGTCGTGTACAGCCTGGTACGTCAGCATGCTTGATGCTGGTGGCAGTGGCAGTGCTTGCGGCGGTGACGGCGATCGCGTAAGCGGGGACCAAGATGTGAACACACACACACGCACACCACACACCTTGCTGACCCACGACGCACGCAAACACACATGTGCAAACACCTCCACATGCATGCGTTGTTCATCTCACACGCGTGCCATGGCTCACCACCACAGAACGCTGGCGGCAACAGCTTTGTGTCGTCCACGGGAGTGCAGTTCCAACGCGACACGGACGATGTGACTCAAGGTACGTGTGTGCGTGCATGTGTGCATGTGTGTGCGTGTATGAATGTATGTGTGCGTATGTGTGTGTGTGTGTGCGTATGTGTGTGTGTGTGTGCTATGGGTACGCGTGGCTGGTCCATGGTTACCTGCCAACTAAGCCCGAAACCACGACCTCGAGTTGGCATGTTGACCATTAGCTTGCGTGAGGGCGTCTTTGCTCACCGTCCTGTTCGACTGGCGACTTTCTCCATGTGTGTTACGCGCATGGGCAGCATCGCCCAAGGGCGTGTCCGCGACGGTGAACATCCCGATACGCGGGGCTATGCCTCAGGACATGGAGCTGTACACAACCGAGCGGTATGCCCAGCAGACCTTCTCCTACAACATCCCAAGACCCAAGAAGGACGGCGAGTACACTCTCGCGCTCTTCTTCTCAGGTCCGGTACAACAACAAGCGTGCTTGTGTGCTGTGCGAGCTGTGCGTGCTGTGAGTGCTGTGCGTATGCTGTGCGTGCTGTGCGTGCTGTGTATGTGCGTGCTGAGTGCTGAGTGCGGTGTGCTGTGTGGTGTGTTGTGAACTGTGATGTTTGTGTTGTGTGTGCGGCGTGCTGCGCGGTGTGTTGTGTCTTGTGAACTGTGATGTGAGTTCAAACGGTGCTGCCACACACGTCACACGTGCATTACCCCTGCAGAGGTGTACTTCCAGTCGCCGAACAGCAAGGTGTTTGACGTCTTCCTGAACCGCGACCTTCGCATCGTGGAGTCTCTCGACATCTTCGCCACCGTCGGTTATGGCGCTGCCTACAACGTCTTCGTTCCCATCACCATCAAAGGTCCGTGCGTGTGTGTGTGTGCGCGTGTGTGCGTGCGTGTGTGTGTGCGCGCGCGTGTGTGTGTGTGCACGTACGTGGAAGGTTTGCGTTCAGGTGAGGCACGCGTCTCCCCTCCTTCATTTGCACTGTACAAATGCTTACGTTTTCGCACTACAGCGCTGTGTACGCTCACTCGTGTGACACCTGACGCCAATACCACCATCAGGCAATGAGGTGGAGACGGCGAGCGGCACCGCCCCCATCCCAGACACTGGCCTGCTGCTTGAATTTGTCAAGGGCTCGTTTGACAACCCAAAGGTCTGCGGCTTTGCGCTCGTCGCCGGCAACGAGGACGGTGCGTGGTGTACTGTGTGTATCTGTGAGTATGTGCTGTGCGAGCGTGTGTGTGTGTGTGTGTGCGTGCGTGTGTGCACTGTGTGTGTTTGTGTGTGTGTGCGTGTGTGTGCTCTGCTGTGTGTGTGTGTGTGTTTGTGTGTGTGCGTGCGTGTGTGTGTGTGTGTGTGTGTGTGCGTGCGTGTGTGTGTGTGTGTGTGTGTAGACACCTTTGTTCTTTCTGCGAAATGTGAAAGTGCACCGTGTGCACGCCTCCCATCCTCAATGTCCATACACACGCCCCGAGCTCTTCATTTCACTTCATGCCAGCCCACCTTCCAAAACGACCGTCCAATCCAAACTCACGCCCCGCGTGCCTTGCTCTGCTGCTCCCCCATCCGCCACCTCTGCCGCTTGTGCAGTTGCACGGGAGCTGTTCCCGCTGGACACGGTGGAGGACATCGAAGACGAAGACGAGGAGGAGGATGGCCAGGACGATGCCACCGATGCGCAGGACGCCACGGCAGACAGCAGCCAGCAGCAGCAACAACAGGCAACCCCCACGGTGCTGCATGTTATGTTATGTGTGTGTTTTCGTGCATGTGTGTGTGTATGTATATGTGCTTTTGTGTTTTCTGGTCGTGTGTGTGCATGTGTGTTGTTTGGTATGTGTGTGAGTTGACACGAGCCAACCCGCGCCCTCGTTCTGTGTGGTTCACAGATGGATGCCAAGAAGGACAAACTGCGCAAGCAAAAACGCCGCGTCACCCCACCGGTCAGTTGAAACCCCGTCTTTGTTTCGCATGCCCCTGTCGTCTTGGGCGAGGCTGAAGCGCGCGCGTCGTGGCGGCTGCTTTCAGCCCTCCCTTCACCATGCACACACATGCACACATGCACACACATGCACACATGCACACATGCACACACATGCACACACATGCACACACACGCAAACACACACACACACATATTGCCACCAAGGCTGAGGAGACGTCGCTGCCGCTGATTCCAATTGCCATCGCCGTCGGCGTTGTGTTCGCCGGATACAAGCTCCTCTTCAAGTGAATTGAAATCATGCAATCACACACGCACACACGCACACACGCACACACGCACCGTGGCGGTGTGACGTTGTGTTGCAACCAGTATCGATGGCGTGCAACAAGCCCACACCCCCTCACTCGTATCATGACATTACGCGGTTTGCGTTTCTGTCCTCATTGTGCTGGTATACACACGTGCTCGTTTGGTTCTCGCTGTGCATCTAACATGCACAACCCTCCCTCTCCTCGTGTTCCTCCAATCTCAGCTATTGCGTCACTGTTTAGTTGCTGTTCATGAGTCCCTCCCCAGCACCGTCGCCTACACCCATCGAAACAGTTCACTCTTGACAAATGGCAAACAAACACTCATCATGCGTCTGGTACATACGCACACACGCAGCGAAGAAGGAACAAGTGCAAGAGAGAGCACCACCAGCAGCAAGTTAACGGCACAACTTCAGCCACGTAAACATCCCAACAGCAGCCGTCACACAGACAAAGAGAGACAGGTAGACAGATAGACACACAGACACACAGACACAGACACACACACACACACACGGGGATGCATTGACACACAGACACAGACACAAACACAAACACACAGACACGCAGACCCCCAACCCTCTGTGGCACGCATTCGGCTTCAGGGATCTACTGCGCGGCGCGGCCGAGCATGGCGGACGTCTGCTGCTCCTCCTCCTGTAGCGACGCGCTTGCATACTTGGCAAGCAGCATCTGGTCGCGGCAGACACAAACAGGGATGTGTGAGCCATGATGGAGGGCGTGTGTGCGCGTGTGTGCGTGCGTGTGTGCGCGCGCGCATGTGTGTGGAGATGGTGGTGGAGATGGTTGTACGAGCCGTCTGACGTAGCGTGAACACATTGAAGCACACGCAAACACACAATTCTCAGACATAAAACACCGCACACCCCCGTGCACGTGTGCTGACTGACCTCCTTTCTTCGCTGGAGGATCATTTGTTCAATCTCCTGTGTTGACGGGATGGCGGGCTCGGCCTCCTCCTCCTCCTCGTGCATCGCCGCAACCTCCGCTGCTACAGCCGGCGCCTGCGCAGTCACACGTATAGACACACGCGAGCGTGCATGGTTACAGATGCGTGTGCGGTTGTGCAAGTGCGTGCGTGTGTGTGTATGCGTGTATGCGCATGTGTGTGTGTGTATGCGCGCGCGCAAATGCAGCGTGCCAGTACCAGGAGGGCTGCTTCCTTGTCCTCTTCGCTGGCGTACAGCTCGAGCTTCTGCTTAGCGGCCAATCGCTCCTTCTTCTCCTTCATCTCCTGCTGCCACTTCTCCACGGCAGCCTGCCGACCTGTGCCGCAAAAAGATGAAGAAAGAGAGTGTGTGGTGACGTATGGTGCACCAGCTCATTGACAGCAGCAGCAACCAGCGTGCGCAAACACACACGCGCAAACAAGAGACATGCGCACGAAGGCACGCACACGCAAACACACACAGACATCATACACACAGGTACACAACTCAGGCAATGTTCACAGGTGTTGGCTCGACTGACTTTGTTCCTCTGCCTCTTCCTCCAGGGCGAGCAGGACACCGTCTTCTTCGTCGCGATAACCGTAGTAGTCTGCACATGCACACACGCATATGTGAGAGGTCAGCAGAGCAGCCATGGAGTGGCGGCGGTGGCGGTTGTAGGTGGCGGTGAAAGTGGAATGCGACGACACGTTGCGTGTGCAGGGCACAGCGGGGATGTACACAACTGCACACGTGTATACACACCTGCGTCGACAAACTTGTGCAGTTCGCCTCGTTTTCTACGCGGCTGGACAGCAGCTGTATCACATACAAAACGCCAAGGAACCGCGGGAACACCATATGAGCAGCGCACAGCGATCATGCGGTGGTTGTGCACAGAGCACGCGTGCACAGACGTCAGTACAGACACATAAACCGGCAGACACGTAAACAGGCAGATACACACACACACACACACACACACGGCGTACGTTGTTCTGCAAAGAGCTCACGCACACCAGGGAGGTCCTTGGCGGCACCAAAGTATCTGCAGCGCGGTGGTGCGCACGTGTCAACGAACAATGCACTGTGATGCACACACACACACACTCTGGGCGTGGTAGGCCAAACCGTGATCATCAGGCGTGTGCAGTCGCTGTGTGAAGAGCGATGAAGCGCTTACTTGTATCCACGCTGTCCCGGCAACTCAACGCCTTCACTGTCCACAATCCTGGCGCTGCTCGTCTGCCATTCCGGAACGGGGGGGGGGGGGAGGAGGGCGCATGTCAGCTGCACAATCAGGCATACAGACAGCCACAGCCACAGCCACAGACAGCCACACAGACAGGCAGGCAGACAGACACACACACAGGCACACAGATAGACAGACGGACAGACAGACACACACACACAGTGCCACAGCGGGACCACCATCTCCTCTCCCACCACGACCACAACAATGCAACCATACCAGGTAATCTGGGCCGCCCATTTCCTTGATTCGGTTCTCCCAGTATCGCTTTGTTCGCAAGAGTTTGTTGATCTCGTCGTTGAGGTCCCTTATCCGGTACTCGCCAAGCCCAGCTGCATCATCACAGCAGTGCGTGCGCGCGTGTGCATGTGGGTGGGTGAGTCAACGTGGCTAGTGTGTAGGTAACGTGAATGGAGTCAGGAGCAACAGCCGATGTGCATGTGTGTGTGTGCAGTCGAGGTGAGCTGGCTCACCGTTCTGAATTGAAGCGATCTTCTTTGATACATCACGCATCACCTGCGAGGCGAAAAAGGGGAAAGAGGACATGGGCGAAGCGCACGATCGGTTGACGTCAACGACGAGCAAAGAAGTGGCACACAAAGGTAACACGTGTACGTGACACACACACACACACACACGCCGCTAGCGTCTGGTATGGAAGTACATACCTGGTTGCGCATCTTCTCTGCTTCTGGTACAGTGGACACTTGGGAAGGGTCGACTCGCCTGCGCAGCGTTGAGGCATTCAGTCGGCGAGTCAGTCAGTTGCACATGCACGCGTGAAGGCAGCGATGCGCAGTGCAACTGTTCCAATGCACACACACACACACACCACACACACACCACACAGACAACATCACACACACACACACACACACACACACCTGTCACGATCAGGGCCACTGGCACAGGCAGCACGACCACAACCAATAACCACGAGCACACACGTACTTGAGTTCATCGGCCTCTTCCTTCTTCATGCGCAGCCATCGCGACAGCAGCGATCTTGAATATCCCAAGGCCACATACACAGGTACGGGCGTGAGTGAATATTGCACAGGACACAACAGGCTCAAGCACAAACGCAAACAGGCAGTGGTGGCGATGGTGGTGGGTACACCACTCAGCCAGCCATCAGCCAGGCACTCACTGTGCCTTCTCCTCGTTCCTCGCCATCTCTTCCGCTGCTTCTGCTCGTTCGCAGTCGTCCTGGTGGATATGTCACTCTACAGTGCGTTCCAAAACCAACTCTTGTGCGAAACATACATGGTCATTTTGTGCTGTCGCAGACTGCTCTTCTTTGAAATCGAAAACTCGCTCATCAACAACAACGACAACGATGGTGTGGTGGTGTGGGTGGGTGTGGCGATGCGTGGATGGACGGTCTGTGTCAGAAAGAGTGTGGGAGCGTGTGCGCTTGACGTGTTAGTGCTCCTGCACGTTGCAACTCCTTGTTTGTTGTAGCGTGCACACGCACAGGAGCAAGAAGCTCCGGCGGCCTGTGCGTTGTGCAGCTGTGTGGTTGTGTGGTTATGTGTTTGTGTTTGTGTGGTGTGTTTATGTTTGTGTTTGTGATGCGCTCTGCGTTTACTCACGCTTCCTGTTTCTCTCTCCAACACAAACGCACATGTACATGCGTCGTGTAGAGTGGCATGACCATTTCAGACACGTTTGACCTGTTCAAGCAAGGGAACACGGTTTCCCTTGAGGACGTGGCCACCATCGTGAGATCACAAGGGCTGTGCCCAACGGACCGACAAATCAAAACTGCCATGCAGTCTGCCGGCATTTCAGGTCCGACCTTCATGCAGCCGCCTCTTCCCGGCGTGCTTCCTTGTGATGTTGTTGTGTACCTCCACGCGCCTTCTTCATGAGTGTACATTTGCTTGCACATGTACATGTGCATGTGTGTTGCACTTACCAGCATGTTCATCGCTATGCCTTTCCAAGGATGCTCACTTGCCGTTTGCTTCTTTGCATGCCGCCACCCTCTGTGTCCATGTATCAGGCTCGGCAACGCTGCCGCAAGTGCAGACGGTGGTGAGTGCGTTGTCAAACACAAAGAACGATGATATCGAGGGCACCATTCGGCGGGCGCTCAAGCTCTTTGACAGCACAGGCGGCGACGTCGTCACCGTCTCTGAGCTCTCACACGTGAGTACGCGAGTGTGTGTGTGTGTTTGGATGTGTTTGGATGTGTGAGTATGTGCGTGTGTGTATGTGTTTGGATGTGTGGATGAGTGAGTGAGTGAGTATGTGTATGTATGTGTGGATGAGTGAGTGAGTGAGTATGTGTATGTATGTGTGGATGAGTGAGTGAGTGAGTATGTGTATGTATGTGTGGATGTGTGAGTGAATGAGTGTGTGTGTGTGTGAGTGAGTGAGTGTGTGTGTGTGTGTGAGTGTGCGTGTTTCTGAGTGTATTTGCGTTTGTACATAAGCGTAGTTGCGTTTGTACATGTGCGCGCGTGTCAATGCCCGCGATTGTGGCGCATCCTGGCAATATGCTCACTGTCAGTGACTGCCCTTCATCGCCAGGTGTTGAGCTCGATTGGATCCAAGATGAGCGTGGACGATATCGACGAAATCTTCCGACAGGCGGAGGTGTGCACTGCCACACACACACACATACACACACATACACACACATACAACACACAACACACACACATACACATACACACATGTGCAAGCATTGCCTGTGCTCGACAGCTCACAAACGATTTTGCTGACACGCATGCACACGCCCATGCTGCCACCACGCGCAGGTGGATGCATTCGGTCAGCTAAGCATTGACGACTTTGCGCGGCTGATGATGAATGCTGCTGGCGAGGAGGACAACGCCGTTGCATAGCCGTTACCACAGCCCTTGCCACTACCAGCACTGTCACCATCACCACCACCACCACCACCACCATCATCATCTTCTCAACCCAGTGCTCTGTGGCCTCTTTGTTGCCTTGTTGTTGTGTCACAGACGCCGTCGATTGTTCGCCTTTTTGTGCGTGTGTGTGTGTGTGCGTGTGTGTGTGTATGTGTGTGTGTCTGTGCGTGTGTGTGTGTGAATGTGTGCGTGCGTTGTGACTGGCTCGGGGATGTGCCCCAGTTCACACGCACACGTCTTCATCACACCTTTCGTCCCTCGCTCCTCCCAACCTCACTCGTCTGACTCCATACACCATCGATCGGTCCGTCACACATTGAGCAAAAAAGCCACCGTGCGCGCGCGCGTGAGTGTGAGTGAGCGAGCGTGCAGATGCATCTTTGTGTCCGCATACACGCGTGTGAGCGTGTGGCGATTGATTGAGGAAATTGGTCTGAGCAGTCGTGTATTGGGTCGCGAAACAGAGTCGAAAGCTGACTGATGACAACCGAGTAGCGGCAGTGGTGTGGTATGTGTGGCGATGGAAGCGGTTTCCACGCCCGTTGGTGGGAGGTGGGGTTGCATGTGGCGGCGTGGCTTGTGTGTATGGCTATGGTTGTGTGGATGTGCGGGAGATGGCTGATCAGAGGACCTTGGCCTCGTTCTTGAGCTTGTCAAGCAGCTCATCCACGCTCTCAACCTGCAGCAAAGCAGCGCAGTCGCAACTCGTGAGCGAGGGTACGTACGTGCATGTACGTGTGCATGTGGATCGAGCAACACATGGAACAATTGGTTGAGCCGTGTATGGAACTGCAAGCAACCACTCAGCCACTCACTCTCACAACAGATAAACACACCCATACACACACACATACAAAATCAAACAAAACAAAGATGGACGCACCTTGGTACCACCGCTGCGCTTTGGCGGCTCAGCAACAGACACGTACTCTGACGTGGGCAGTAGCAGGCAAGGCGTCAAGAGGACAACGGTGAGATGTATTGCTTGCATGCATGCAGCTTTGCACATTCATGGTAAGGACATCACGATACAACGCACTATGATGGCAGGCCACGTTGCAACACACTTCACAATGCTGACAGCACAAAGTAACACGGAAAACCGCCACCCACGCACGCACCAACCTACACACGCACCGAGCTGGGAAACAATGTCCACGCCAAGGTCCTCTGGGGTCTTGGTGTCGACCTTCTTCTTCTTTGCCTTCATGATGTTGGGGAGGGTGGCGTAGCGGGGCTCGTTGAGGCGCAGGTCGGCGCTGATGACTGCAGGCACCTTGACGTTGATCGTCTCAAGGCCGCCGTCAATCTCGCGCGTCACCTCCAGCTTGCTCGCATCGTCAGACACGACCACCTTCGACGCAAACGTCGCCTGGCACGCGCGTGCGGTAGTGATTGTTGTTGGTGGTGGTGGTGGTGGTGTTGTTGTTGTTGTTGTTGTTGTTGTTGTTGTTGTTGTTGTTGTTGTTGTTGTTGTGAGCGTGTTGCCTTGGCATTGGTGTACACTGCGGTCACTCGCTTTGTGCACACGTGGTCCAGTTTCGTGCGTGGCGGGCACGTCCAAGCCCACAACAGAACGCACTGTCCCTCGTTTCTTCACGATCACGATCACCACCACTGCCAGCACTGTACCTGTGGCCAGTCCACGAGGGCAGCGAGCATCTGTGCTGTCTGGTTGCTGTCGTCATCGATCGCCTGGAATGACCAACGCGGGACGAGTGTCGTGAGTTGAGTGTGTGTATTTGTAGCTGGTGGGGGTCCTTGCATTGAATATGATGAGGCACAGAAAGCGCCAGCAAATGGTTGACATCAACGCATGGACAATGTGTTGTTCACAATCAACGCACACACACATACACATTCACCGCACACACACACATACACATTCACCGCACACACGCACGCACACACGCACGCACGCACAAGCCGCCGAAGAACCATGAGCATCAGACCTGCTTGCCCATGATGACGAGGTCAGGCTTCTCGACGTCGACGAGCTTGGCGAAGATCTTGGCAACAGCGAGGGGCTCAAGCTTGTCCGTGTCGTCAACGGTGACATGGATGCCGCGGTCGGCACCCATGGCAAGCGCGGTGCGGATCACATCGACGCTCTGCTTGGGGCCGCACGACACAACCACAACCTCCTCGAGCTTCTTGGCCTCCTTCAGGCGGATGGCCTGCGCTCCCCCGACACAGACGGTCGCATGGATGGGTGAGGAACAGGGGGTACGTTGGTGTTGTGTGCCAGGGTACATGCATGAGTTGCTTTTGCGTTTCACCATAGCTGCCTCAGTTGCAAACCGTACACATGTCGTGGTGTGAAAATGTCGTGGTTTGAACAAGGATGGGTCAAGTCAATTGCAAACCGTACTCAGTGTCTCTACCACCAAACAGACGCACAGACGCACAGACGCACAGACGCAAACACACCTCCTCGACGGCAATCTCGTCAAAGTTGTTCATGGAGTGCTTGACATCCTTGACAACACCGGTTCCCTGGGGGTTGACGCGAACCTATTCTCATGCGCGTTTGTGCGTTTGAGAGTGTGTGTTTGTGTGTGGTTGAACCGTCACGGTATGTGGTGAAGTGTTGCAATTCAACGTGTGCCATGTATGATGATGGATCATAACACGTACAGAACAACGCGCAATGCAACCAACACACACAGGCATACAGACACAAACTCATGCACAGAGACAGACACACAGACACACAGACACACAGACACACAGACACAGACACACAGACACACAGACACAGACGCACAGACACACCCACCTTGACGAGGTAGTCAATGACGCGCTTGCAGCCAACGAGGGCACGACGCAGAGACATGGTCGGTTTGGTTTCCTTGGTCGGTCAACAGCAACAACAACACAAACGAAGGAAGGAGAGCAGTGGCACAAGCAGCTAAAGCAAGTGATGGAGAATGGACAAGTGTGTTGCGGTTGGAGGTGGAAATAAGCGCATCTCTTAACCGCAATTGCGCGCTCGATGAGTCATGTCATATCCACCAAGGTGCGCACAAGAGTATTTCTTGTGCGAAACATATATCACGTCGTCAAAAAGCAAACAAAAGCCAAAGGAAAGGGCGCTGCTGCTGACACACAACGCCAATCCATACAACCATTCATCCACCCCCAACACCGCAGCAAAGGACACACGCACACACACACACGCCATCCACCTACGCATCGTCTCTCATATCGTCGATCCCAACAACAAGAGAGTCATCAACAACACCCAACGCACAAGCACGCACGCAACCGCACGCAACCGCACGCACAACAGCAGCAATGCCGGTGCACGGGTCCATGGCCTTTGTTTCGGTCAACCCGAAAAAGGCGCAGCATGTTTCCTTTGTGGAACCGCTGGCCAAGTTTGTGTCTCGCGAGTACCAGCAAGACCCAGCCACCCTCAAGGAGCCCGTGAAGGAGCTCTCGGAGCTGCGCGACTCTTGCATCGTCAAGGCCCCCGAGAAGCACGACTCCGGCCTCAAGGCCGTCATGAAGTGCGTGTCCTTGTCCTTTGATGTCGACGTTCCTGTTGTGGGTGTGCTCGTGATGGCAATGGGATGATGGCGTTCCAATGTATGTCGAGCACTTGCATGGTTCTTGCACCTCCCACTCACTCAATCACGCACACATACATGCACACACACACCACACACACACACACACACACACACACACACACACCACACTCACTCAATCACGCACGATGACAGATACTATGGCCGGCTGACTGCGCTGACACGCCGCTTCCCATTCAAGACGTCGGAACCGTGGGATGGCATCCTGCCGTCGCCCATTGTCCTGAAGTTCTCGTGGGAGGACAGCCAGGCTTCCAGCGTCTTTGGCGGCAAGAAAATCGTCGGTGAGTCGAGAACGGGCCGCTGGGCTTGTTGTTGGCTGCGATGGCCGCCTCGGTCCCTCTTGCTTTGATTGGAGCACTGCTTGGCCCTATCTTCTCTTGACGGGTTGCATTCTTCCCCACATTCCCTCTCTCGCCTCTCACGGCCACATCACCTCTTTGTATTTTCTGTTTTGCTGTTCCAGCTCTCGAGGACATCAACTTTGAGATGATCAACGTGCTGTACAACATGGGCGCCGTGCACAGCCAGATTGGCGCCATGGCGAACATCAGCTCCGACGCGGGTCTCAAGCATGCCTCCGTCAACTTCCAGGTATCACCTCTTCGTAGGTGTATATTGGTGTGCGTGTGCATGCGTGTGTGTGCGTGCGCGTGCGTGTGTGTGTGTGTGCGTGTGTGTGCGTGTGTGTGCGTGTGCGTGTGTGCGCGTGTGTGGGCGTGTGTGCGCATGTGTGTGTGCGTGTGTGTGCGTGTGTGTGCGTGTGTGTGCGTGTGTGTGCGTGTGCGATGTGAGCCCAGAAGCTTGGCCATGAGCCTTGGTGTGCCTTCATGTGTCGCGTACCATTTCACCTGCACGTGTACTCCGCCACGATGACTGTGCCCGGATGCTCGCTCACTTGGCCGCTTGTCGTTCCCGTTGCGGTTGTGTACTCCCTTTTTCACCTCCATTACCGTTGCACAGAGCGCCGCTGTGTGCTTCAAGAACGTGGCTGCGCAAGTGCACAAGTACTACACCAAACCTCCATCCTCGGACCTCCAGCCCATGTTCCTCAACGCCCTCTCCTTCCTCATGCTGGTGCGCGTGCTTGTGTGTGTGCTTGTGTGTGTGCTTGTGTGCGTGTGCTTGTGTGTGTGTGTGTGAATGTGTGCTTGTGTGTGTGTGTGTGTGTGTGTGTGTGTGTGTGTGTGTGAATGTGTGAATGTGTGTGCTTGTGAGTGCATGTGAGGGTATGTCTGCTTTGCCCCGGCTCTCTGCTTTGCTCATTTTGCTCTGACCATTTCTCATCTGCTCGAACACAATCCCGCTGCTGTTCCCATCACCGTCACCATCACTGCAGGCCCAGAGCCAGGAGATGTACTGGCGCAAGTGTGTCGTTGGTGAGTGTTGCCTGTTCGCGTGGTCCAAATCAATGTCTCATTGCTCGTAGCCACCTCCAACCTCACACACACACGCACATTCACACACACACACACACCACAGTCACACACAGACACAATCACACGCAATATCACACACATTCACACATACACATTCACACACACCCTACAGTGACACACACACAGTCACACGCCATCACACACACACACACACACATCAACCCATCCAGCAAGTTATGCGCTGTTCCTCCACTGCTTCTTACATGGCATCTTGCCTACCTGCTGTTCGCCACCACTCCCCCACCCTAACTTCCACCCTCAAACCAGAGCGCAAGAGCAACGGCACGATTGCCAAGCTTGCCAAGCAGACCTCGAGCTTCTATGCGGATGCGTACCGCAACCTCGTGGCCAGCGGCGTCGCTGACAAGACCTGGCTCGCCGCCACGCAGGCAAAAACCGCCTACTACGAGGCAGACGCCCAGTACAGAATCGGTAGGCTGTGCGTGTGTGTAAGTGTGTATGTGTGTGTGCAGCGCGATTTGTGTGCTGGTGTGTGTATGTGTGATTGCGTGTGTGTCTGTGTGTGAGTGTGTTGTTGTGTGCTGAAGGGTTCATTGCATTTTGTACCTTTGTGCCTGTGTGCGTGTTGTGTATTGGTGCAGCGATGCTCGACTGCCAGCCCATCTACCGCTCACACTCCCAACTCCACCCCCCTCCACCCCCAAATACCCCATTGATCCCTAACGCCGCGCAGCGATGGCGGACAAGGCTGAGGAGGAGATGGGCAGTGCCATTGCGCGTCTGCGCATTGCAGAGGCGAAGCTTGCCGAGGCCGCGCACCAGGCCGCAGGCACCGACTTCAACACCAGCGTGAGCAGCTCGTGTTTCCTGCCTCGTGTGGTGTGGTGTAATGTGGAGTGCGTGTGTTGTGTGTGATGAGATGTGGGTTGTGCGTGCATGTACTGGGTATCATCGTTGAGATGTGCATGTATGTACGGCTCACGTTTGTTGTTCCCCCTCCGAAAATGTTGGCACTGCAGCATCTGCAACAGACGGTGTCGTCGCTGATCAAAGAGTACGAGAAGGAGAACGGAATGATTTACATGAAGGTTGTCCCCGCCGCCTCTGCGTAAGTCACGCGCCACGGCGCTAACACCGCATGCACCAGGGAAAAGCAAGGGGGGGGGGTCAAGGGGGAAGGGAGTTATTGATAGTTAGACAAAGAGAGAATGAGAGAGAGAGAGAGACGAAAGGCGTGATGCACGCAATATCACACACACACACACACACCTCACGAACCTCACGAACCTCTCACTATCATCATCCCTCCCCCCTCTCACCCAATCCATACGCAGGCTGCCACCACTGGACCAGCACGCGACAGTGAGTGCGGACCGCGAGCTGCCGGACTTCACGGCCAAGGAGTACATGGGCGACGACCCGTTTGCCGCCATCATGCCCCTGGTGAGACCGCACGCTCGATCTCGTGTCGTTGGGAAGGGGGGGGGGGGAGCGGAGGGCTTGGGAGTATGTGCAGCCGTGTGCATGTGTGCCTTATCTAGTCTACTGTGCCCTCACGTTTTTGTGCTTTTTTTGTGTTCACGCACACATACTCACACGCTCACTCACTCACACACACGCACACTCACACACACACACACACACACACGCACACACGCACACACACACACACACACACACACACACACACACACACACACACACACACACACACGCACGCTCAAACTATACTTCCAGTCTGTGCACCAGGGTGCGCAGCGGTACGCGGAGAAGCGCGACGAGTTTATCCGGGAGCAGATTGAGGCCATCAACAAGAGCACCAACGAGTGCGTGGAAGGGCTCACGGAGATGCAGCTGCCGGGTGCACTGCAGGCCGTGCAGAACCCAACCGACATCCCGCAAGCTCTCGTGGCCCACTGCGAAGAGATTCGCGCAGCCGGTGGCACCGCCCCCTTGAACGACCTCATTGCAGTGAGTAGCGACACACACACACATGCAAACGTGTGTGTGTGTGTGTGTGTGTGTGTGTGTGTGTGTGTGTGTGTGTGTGTGTGTGGTTTGTGTGTGTGTGTGTGTGTGTGCGTGTGTGTGTGTGTGCGTGCGTGTGTGTGTGTGTGTGTGCGTGTGTGTGTGGGTGTACATGTTGCAACTGTGCGGCAGCCGCTCGCAGATACATACACCCCCCCACATTTACACACGTACACGTTATTTGCCCTCCTGCAACTGTCTCTTGCGTGCATGCGCGAATGTTTCCGCTGCAGGCGCTGCCTGAGAAGAGCAAGATGTGCCGTGAAATGCTTGACGAGACCCGCGAGCGCCTCGAGCAGGAGGAAAAGGCAGACACCGTACGTGTTCGCTGAACGTGCTCGTGCTTGTGGGCGTGGGCATGGTGTGTGTGGTGGTCGACGTTGTGCCTCCTGCGCGCATTGTGCTGACTTTTGTGACCCACTACTGCCCTCACCCCTTGTTTGTCCACCTCAACCTCCACCTCAACACACACACATACACACATACACACACACACACACACACACACAAACACACACTCTCTCTCCTCTCTCTCTTTCTCTCTCTCTTTCCCTCTCTCTTTCCCTCTCTCTGTCTGCACATATCACCATCACGACAGGAGCTGCGCCAGAAGTACGGGTCCCGCTGGTCCCGCGAGCCCTCCGCCAAACTGAGTCAGTCAAACACATCCACACAGACGCATTGTGCAAGGCTCTGTCAGGAGTGGGGAGGAGAAAGAACGTGGAGTGATCCAATTGCGGGGTCCCCAAAGTACTCCCCACCCCTACCACCCTCTTTTGTTCGCCTGCCATCTCACTTACTCATCCCTGCCATGTTCTCTCTCGCGTCCCCCCCTCCTTGCTTCATGTTGCGCTGCAGACGCAAACATGCGGAAGGAGATTGACAAGTACACGCGCATCATCGACAACGCCACACAGAGCGACCAGACAGTTGTCCACCGCTTTCACGAAATCGAACGTACGCCCGTGCAGCAACCATGGCACCTGTGCGTGCGTGTGTGCACATGTGCGACTTACTCTAGTCATTGTCTTATAAGCTTTATGCAAGGGATCCGTGTTGCCCCCCGCTCCTCTTTGTTTTCACGCTGAAGAACTCGCATTTCACACTCTGCATACCCTTCCCCCCTCTCTCGCTTCCCATCACCCCCTTTCCCCACTCTCTCTTGTCCACCACCACCACACGATAGCTGCGATCCAGTTTATGGCTGGTCCGATCGAGGAGGTGAAGGCTGCGCTGCCGACGTCCAGCGGCGATGCAAGCGGCCCCGCCGCCCCAATGGAGGAGCTCACACAGCTGCTCACCCGTCTGGACGAACTGCGCGACCTGCGCGACGCCATGTCCGCCAAATTCGAACAGCTCAAGGAAACGGACGATATCACGCATCTGCTGCTGGAAAAGGGCAGCTCGACCGACGAGGCGACGCTGTTTGACGAGCAGCTCAAGCACTACACCAACGCCGTGGAGGAGGCCCAGCAGCTGGTGCAGGAGACAACAGACGTGATGGCGCGCACACGCGAAGCAAACGACCGCTTCCGCGCATCAAAGTCCGCTGGCGGCGCAGAGCGTGAGGCCATGCTCAACGACCTTGCCGCCAAGTACGAGGCGTGGAAGACGCTCTCGCGCGACCTGCAGGAGGGGTCCAAGTTCTATGAGCAGCTCATTGGGCTGCTGTCCAAGCAGCAGGCCAAGTGCACCGACTTTTGCGTGGCGCGCGACTTTGAGAAGCAGGACCTGCAGAGCAGCATCACGCGTGACATTGCCTCTGTTCCCAGCGAGGACTACTCAACACCACCAGGGTCATCATCATCTGCTCCCACCGCCACCGCCACCTCCACGGCGACGCCGCAGCCGCAGCCGTCATCCTCGTACCCGTCTGTGCCACAGCCGCGCACGCAGCAGGCGCCACCACAGCCCGCATACGGGTACCAGCCGCCGCCGCAGCAGTACGTGCCGCCATCGGCCAACCAATCGTACCAGGGATACGCGTCTGCTCCCTCGTCGTCGTCGTCATCATCATACATGCCGCCATACCAGCAGCCCCCGCAGCAGCAGCATGGCGGGTACATGCAGCCGCCGCCACAGGGTGGGTACCAGCCGCCGTACGGCCAGCAGCCACAGATGCCACCCTACCAGGGCGCACCACCACCCATGCAGCAGCAGCAGCATCCTCCTTATGGCCAGCCACCACAGGCTGCATATGGGCAGCCGCCTTACAACCCGCAGGCTGGGCCGTACGGAAACACCAGCCAGTACGGTGCATACCCTGGCCACTACCGCTGAACGTGGTGCACTCATGTGAGGGCTTAAGCGGGGATTGGGAAGAAGAAGGGCGCGTTGTGGTGTGTGTGTGTATGTGTGTGTGAGTGAGAGAGAGTGTGTGTGTATGTGACATGTTATGGGGTTTGGAGAGATGAAGGAAGGCAGCATGTTTCTTTGTTTCTGTTACGTTTCATACATGTGTGGGTTTTGCGAATGCATATGTGTGCGAGGGCAAATGTGTGCGAGTCTCTCTGTGTCTCTCTGTTCGCGGTTGCCTTGATTGTTGTACGCTGTCTGATCCTCCTTCACGCGACTATGCTTGGCCAGAGGGACGCGCTGTACCTCTTCCTTGTTCCCGAGTTGTGTGTGTGTGTGTGTGTGTGTGTGTGTGTGTGTGTGTGTGTGTGTGTGTGTGTGCACATTGGCGATTCAACCCAAAGCAGGGGCGTTATTGAATTCCACGTCATTTTCTTGCAGCCATAAACAAAGAGACAAGAGGCAGCGACGATGAGTAACACTCCAGAACACATGGGGGAAAGAACCAACATGACACAAGTACAGAACCGCACGAGTCGACAACAACATGCACACAAAACAGTGCCAAGGAACGCAGCTTACATAGCAGTGGCGCAACGAATATGCAATCAGGCAAACAAGTCAGAAAAAGAAAAATCAGTGCAAGTAGGGTTGGGGGAGAACGAGCGGACGCGTGGTGAACTAGTGTGACTTTGAGGGCTCGAGTGAAGGACACAAACACATGTGGTCAGCGTGTCAATACTGAGGGATGACGTGGGGGGGGGGGATAACAACACGTGCTGGGCGGTGCCAAGAGTAGCAAAGAACGAATCAAGCAGAGATCCTCACAGCATGGTCGACGAGTGAGGGAAGGCCGTTCAAGCCATGCATGACGCATCAAGCTGTGGATCGAACGTTTGGGTGCGCCCTTTGCATCTCATGCAAGTGGTCTTCATATTGACGCAGCGTAGACCGAAGACGCTCTAAATTCTGCGACGCTTGCGCCGTTCTGCACATGTACAGAGTGCGCATTGTGTGTGTGTATGTGTGTGTGTATGTTTGCGTTGGGTGAGGCGCCAAACCGAGTGAGTAATATGTTCTGTGCGTGCGTGCGGGTTTGCAGGAAGCAGCAACATATCATCACATCACATCACAGCACACCAATGTGCACTTGCGCTGCTACTGACTCAGTTGACGCGGTTTTGCCTGCAACGGTTGTGATTCGATGCTCTTCTGCTGCGATGTGATCCGTCAACTCCTCAATCTGCTCGCGAATCTCCTGCACACATGCAAGCGATGTGCGGCGAGTGCGTGCGTGTGTGTGTGTGCGTGTGTGTGCGCGAGTGTGCGAGTGAGTGTGTGTGTGTGCGCGCGAGCGAGTGTGTGCGTGTGTGTGCGTGTGTGCGCGCGGTGGAACGGCGTAGGAGGAGTGTTGCAGCAGAGGTGAGGAGGAGAAGTGGGTGGTAGATTGAAACGCAAGCACAAGTTGGGATGGAATGATTGAATGACAACAACGTTGACAAAGAAGCGGACATACATACATACATACACACACACAGACACACACAAACACGCATTCACACACACATACACACACAACACACACAACACAACACACGCACCTCTTCTGATGCTGCTGGGTTGATTCGTTCAGCAGGGGTGATGCTGAGTAGCGATGCGGCCAAGCTATCGCGACACAGCGCACACGACGCCCGAACAAGTACAGAGCAGTCAGATAAGACGCATCGATACAAGAAGCAACAACAGCAGTCACAACGGATCAATCGACGATAAGCAAACACTGGTTGTGCATCACACAGACACACACAGACACAGAGAACGACATGCACAGATACACACACACACACACGCACACACGTACACATACACGTACCTGCCACTGGAGCGCGTGCGAGCACCGAACATGGAATTTCTCCACAGCGCGGCGTCTGCGCTCTTCGTCAGACGGGACTGTGTCTCGGCATCGCTCCCTTCAAATGCATCATCATCGTCGTCATCGTCGTCGTCATCGGTTGTCAGCAGATTCTGTACGAGGTGGTGTGGAGGTGATGATGCATCATGACATGACGCTCACTGTGAGCACGTCGTGGCCCCATGAGTTCTCCCTCATCAGCACAACAATTCGCACCACAGCCATCTCATCGACGCGCACGCCGCCGCTTCCCTTTGAACTTTGAGTTAACACCCCCGCCCCCTTCCCCCTTCCACGCCCCCAATTCCCACATTTCGCCCCTGCGCACCTCGCGAGAAGCAGACGAGTCCTTGCCAGCCTCCCACGCGCCCACCAGCTGTGCGATGTTCGACTTCCTGCGCTGCGCTTGCCGTGGCGCACGGGCACTGCCGCTACCGCTGCTGTCAGGCGTCAACTGCCGCCGCTCCTGTCGTCGTCGTCGTTCTTCCTCGTGTTGCTCGCGACGCGCACGCCCGCGCTCAGCAACAGCACGCATCACCTGCAGGGCGAACGGGTGCATATTGTTGAACTTGCGTGAAAATCGAGCATTGCACGCGCGTTTGTGTGCAAACGCACATATGTGTTGGCAATACGTGTGCAAGTCGATACCCACACGCACACTCACAGACGCAGACAGACACATACATACAGACAGACAGACACACAGACACACAGACAGACACACACACAGACAGACAGACACAGACACACGCGCACAGACATATATCCGCACACAGTCATACAAAAAGCTACAATGTTTCTCACTAGCACACATGATGAGCGGCGCAAGCACTACACCTGCTTGTCGACGTCAGAACGCAAGAACTCGACATACGCATGCCCCTCATCAGTTTCATCTTCCGGCAGCGGGCAGGGAAACACGAGCGACGTGCCGTCCACGGCAAGCGGGTTCTTGCGATAGAAGTCCACCAGCTTTGGAATGGTCTTGAAGTTGCCGTCGCGGCCGAAGATGCTGAAATTGCCCTTTGCCGGGATGATGATGAAGTGCTTTGGCCCATCAGGGGTGCTGGGTTGGGCGCGGGGTGGGGATACGTGTGTGTGTGTTGTGTTGTGTTGTGTTGTGTGTCAGTTGTGGGTTGTGTGAGTTGTGTGTTGCGCGGTGTGGTGCAACGATGAAGTGAGTTTGCTGATGGGGGTTGGTTTGCCTTGGTGGCACTGCAAGCGCCCTCGACATTTGCACTGTAAACATCACCACACACGCACACGCACGCACGCACACATGCGATGACAGGGATGCGACTATTTCTCTACAACAGGCATGCGCAACGTACTTGAGGGAGAGTGTGATGCCTTTTCTCCTGCTGCTGAGACGCAAGAGGAACGTGCCCGGATTCGTGCTGGCCAGACGTTGCACAGCTTCCCCGCGCGAAATGTCGCCGTGGTACCACCTGGCACGGAACACGACCAAAACGTGAGGGAGGGCGGTTGGTGTGAGGATATGCGAATAGGTACGTGCGTTTCGAGTGATGCGCAGAGGATGCCATGGGAGCGGCTTGGTGAGCGAATCAAAGGTAGGCGTGTGTTGTGCTGATTGTGTGCATAGGCGTGCGTGTGCGTGTCGTGAGCAGTGTGGCTGACATGCAGCCCAAAGGAAAGAGACGCACGGTTGTTTGATTAAAGTTTTGTCCTTTGCCAGTCGCTCAAACAGGCCAGCGTTCCCCTAACGTGACGGCCGACCAAACGTGAGGTGGTGAACCATCGGCGACAGCACAACATCAGTGAGTGTTGCCAGGAATAATGAGACAGACAGGTCACATGTTGTTCACACACACACACACACAGACACACAAACAGAGACACAGACACAGGCACAGACACAGACACACAGGCACACACAGACACACACAGACACACCCAAGAGCGCACACATGCACACAATACCAGGGCCTTCTCCTTGTGTTCGAGATCGCTGAGCGACAGGTGGCGCGAGGGTGCACGCTGCTTCTTCTTCTTCGACTTTTCAGCAGACTTTGGCTTATCCTCACCAACAGACGAGTGCCGTTTTGGAACAGCGAGTGGGCTGTTGGGCGCAATCACCGCAGATGTGGCTGCCCGCCGCACCGTCCGACGCCTGTTCACACGTGCGTGTGTGTTGGTGTTCCGGTTCGTGTGTGCGTGTGTGCGTGTGTTGTTGTGTGTTTGTGTGCGTGTGTTAGCAGCAAGGAATGGAGCCAGAGATTCACCGAGTACTTCTTCACCACAAGTACGCAGCACTCCAGAGCTCCGGACATGCAAGCAAGAGGCGTGCGAACATACGGGCGCTGTGCTGCGGGCGAGGGTGGAGATGCCTTTGGCAGTAGCGAGACAATGGCCGGCTGCAGATGATGGCGAGGAAGACCAAACGTGTTTTCAATGAGCGTGCGAAAAAGGAGCGAGTGGTTGTAGGAAGGGCGCAAGTGATCAAGGACACAAGTATCAGCAAGTACAGACACAGGCACAGACACACACAAGTGTACACACACACAGGCACACAGGTGTATATATACACACACACATAGAACAGACAGACAGACAGACAGACAGACACACACACAAATCAACGCACGGACGCACGTTCTTGATGCCGTCTGTGATGGCGGCGACGTGCCACCCGCCCTGGCTGACGGTGCGCATCTGCAGCAGCCAGCGCTCGAGATCGGGGAAAGTGGCGCGAAAGTCGCGGGCATATGCGGGCTCTGTTGTGCGGCGATGGGCGTCGAAGCGCCGGTGCTCCAGACAAGGAAGTTGCACACGCTGCATGCATCGTTGAGAGGGAACGTGTCGGGGAGACGCAGGCAGGTTGGTGTTGGAGAGCAGGGGAGCATGCGAACGCGTGGGAACGTGGGTGAGTGAGTGAGTGAGTGAGTGAGTGAATGAGTGAGTGCTTGCTAGCATGTGGGTGAGAGCGGGTGAGAGGTTGCAGTGCAGGGTGTGGCTGTTGGCTTCACCTCGGCAGCGTAATCGAGCTCGTATAGCTGTCGTGCGCAATTCTCTCTTGCGTCTGCACCCCAGGAATACACCGACGCCTCCGCCTCCCGCACCAGCTCCAGCGCCTCGGCCGCTTTCTGCGGCGTGACATATATGTGTATGGCAGTATGGCAGTGAGTGGATGGTGGTGGCAGTGCGCATGGGCTGTCATAGGGCAGTGTCGGAGGCAAGTGAACAGCAGGCGATGAACGCACTTGTGATAAGGGCTTGTTCTGCCTCGGTTCCTATCCAGCACACATGAACGAGAGAACTTGGGTGAGCCGGGGGTGAAACAACACGCACACGCACACGCACACGCCCACACACACACACACACACACACACACACACACACACACACGCCCACACACACACACACACGCCCACACACACACACACACACACACACACACGCCCACAAACACACACACACACACACACACACGCCCACATCTTCCAATGTGCGACGCTGCGATTGCGATTGCATTGAATGACGTGTTGTCTCACGCGTACCGTTGGTGGTTTGGAAGCGTCCTTGGACTGTGCACTGACGATGCCAGTGTCGTCCTCGTCATCCAGTAGATCGCCGAAGCCGAGGATGCCTCCATCCTCATCCAGGTCCACAAACTCGTAGCCCTGTGGGCGATCCGCCATGCCATCATTGGAACGCACAACCAGGATGCAGTGACAGTGATGTGAGCGTGAATAAAAGGATTGGGCAGCGATTGGATCACAAGCATGTGAGTTGGCACGATGCCGCGAGTGGGGGGAGGGGGCACGCGACTGTCCTCTCCTCCACATCCTTGCACACCACATGTACGACTGCGACTTGCAGTGCACATGTGCGGGTGTTCCTGAGACGCTGACTACAACCCATGCATCCCTTGAAGACATCCCTCCGCCACGCTTACACTCATGTTGAGTGGTAGTGGACGGTGGCTTGCTTCTTTGCTTCTTTGCTGCTTCTTTGCTTGCTTGTTGGTGGGGTTGCTTGGCCACGCCTTCCCTCTCACCCCTCGTCGTGCGTCCACAGCACCTCCACCAATGCACGTTGTCAGTCAGAGCGTGTGTGTGTGCGTGCGAGGGTGTGGCAGTGGTGGTGCGTGGTGTTGTGGGTTGCGTATGCTGAAGACGACAAAGGGGGAAAAACAACACAACAAACAGCAGATCGCGAGCTCGACAACAAGGTTTTTGTTTGTGTTTTGTGGTGTGTTCAGTGGCAGGACCCCTCTGCTGACTGATGTTGTGTGACACCTGACGCAGCGACACGCTCACACCCGAACAGAGCAAGCACAGAAGAGGAAGCAGAGCGAGCAGGTGGCGGCCGGGAAGCGAGCGGGGATGCCTGTGACCGTCACACGGACGGCGTTTGGGACGCTGAGCAGCACAGGGGAGCAAGTGGACAAGTTCACCCTCAGCAATGGCAGTGAGTTTGGTGTGTGGTGTGTGTGTGGTTGTGGTTGTGTGTGTGTGTGTGTGTGTGTGTGTGTGTGTGTGTGTGTGTGTGTGTGTGTGTGTGTGTGCCCATGTGTCGCGTTTGTCTGTGCGTGGGTGTGTGCGTGTGTGTGTGTGTGTGTGTGTGCGTGTGTCGTGTTTGCCCACATGTATCGTGTTTGTCCATTCTTCCAACATGTTGTTATCATGTCTGTGTCTGTGCACTTGCAATGCGCCTTGCTGAGCTCACTCCGCTTGCCTTGCGCTCCCTATGCACACGCCGCTGGAAGGCATGGAGGTGGACATCCTCACATATGGCGCCGTGAGTTCAAAGTGCGCAATCACCAAATCCCTCCAATCAATCGCCACAGTGGAATGCAGCACACTCACATCACATCACATCACATCACATCAACGGTCTTGTGTTGCTTGGTGCGGCAGATCATAGCCGCACTGTGTGTTCCAGATAGTGCGGGTACGGTTGCCGACGTGGCATTGGGCTTCGATACGCTGCAGGACTGGGAGGAGAAGAACGTGCCGTACATGGGTGCCGTCATCGGCCGTGTTGCCAACCGCATCGCTGGCGTAAGTTCTTGTACATGCGCGTGAATGCGAGCTCGCCTATGTGCCTGTGTATAAATAAGCGCGTGCCTGCGCATCTGCGATTGCAATTGCGCGCGTTTCTACGAAGCTACATGTAGATGAGTGCGTGTGTACGTGTCCGTGCATCCCACGCCTTGCTCATCCTTGTCCTTGCGCGCACGCCCCACCTTGACTGGCTCTCCAAGGGTACGTTTGACCTGGACGGACAAACGTACACGCTGGCAAAGAACAACGGCGATAACCACTTACATGGCGGTCTCAAAGGCTTTGACAAGGTCAGCAGCCAGTGGAAGCTTTTATGATGACGAAGCATGCACTTCCATTACGCTGGCTTGACCACCTTGGCTTGTTCGAATGTTGTTGGTTTGATGTTGTGATACCCTCAAACCTCTTCATCCACAAGACTATGATCACCTGCTTGTTTTTGGTCAGTGCTTGCACTCTCTTGCACCCACTCCTCAGGCATGCGCGCTTACCACCACCACCACCACCACCACCACCACCACCACCACCACCACCACCACCACCACCACCACCACCACCACCCTGCGTCGTGCGTTTGCGTGTGTGCTTGTGCTGGTGAATGAACTGGCAGCGTGTGTGGACGGCGACAACCGAGCCCGCGGGTGTTCGCTTGCAGTACACGTCGCCCGATGGCGAAGAAGGGTATCCCGGCGAGGTCACCGTGACGGTAACATACACACTCGAGGACGCGGCCAACACGATGCGAATCGCATACGAGGCGACGACCACCAAGGCCACACCCCTCAACCTCACGAACCACACATACTTCAACCTCCGCGGCGCGGTACGTCAGCGCAGTTGCAGTCGCGTGCATGCGTGTGCGTGTGTGTGCGTGTGTATGTTTGCATGTGTGCGTGTGCATGCATGCATGCACGTGTGTGTAGGTGTGTACGTAAACACTTGATAATCACAACAGCAGTTGAACTCTCATGCTTGTCCTTCTGTGCCAACGTTCCCCACATGTGCTGTGACGATTGCAGGGCGAAGGGGACGTGCTTGAGCATCGACTGCAGATGAACGCACAGCACTACACGCCAGCCCGCCCGGACCTGATACCGACGGGCGATATCGCTCCTGTCAAGGTTGCATTGGACGTTTGCACATGTGTTTGCATTTCTGTGTTTGCATGTGTGTATGTGTGTGCTTGTGTGTGTGGGTGTGTTTGCATGTGTATTCGATGAACTTGTCCCAGAACCCTTCCCCAAAGCACACAACCACGTTACACTCTGATCACAGCATCATCATCATCAATCATCATCATCATCATCAGCATCATCATCATCATCATCACTGCCACTGTTCCTGTCTGCAGGGCACACCGTTTGACTTTGTGGAAGCGAAGGAGATTGGTGCCGATAATGGCGACGTGTCCAACGGGTACGACAACAACTTCATGCTGGATCGCAGCGCCTGCAGCAGCAGCGACGAACCCGCACGCGCAGCCAGGTGTGTACACGTGTGCACGTGCACGTCTGTGCCCCTGAGTGAGTGAGTGAGTGAGTGAGTGAGTGAGTGAGTGAGTGAGTGAGTGAGTGAGTGAGTGAGTGAGTGAGTGAGTGAGTGAGTGAGTGAGTGAGTGAGTGAGTGTGTGTGTGTGTGAGTGAGTGGGTGAGTGAGTGTGTGTGTGTATGTGTGTGTGTGTAAGTGAGTGAGTGGTGGTTGGTGGCTTTACGCACGGTGACACAGCGCGGGCTTGCTTGCATGAATTTGTCTGGCTTTGTTCTCCAGGGTGACTGAACCACGTAGCGGCCGTGTCTTGACAGTCGAGACCACAGGCGAGTTCTTGTGCGCGTGCGCGTGCGTGTGCGTATGTGTATATTTTATATATATATATATATATATATATATATATATATATGTATATATATATGTGTGTGTGTGTGTGTGCACATGTGCAGTGTTCGAGTCTGTGTGAGGTTGGCTTGGGATCTGTAATCAAACTCGATTGCGGAGGCAAACTGATTTACTTGTGTTTTCGTCTTCCTCGTCCACCGACGCTCACCTGCTTGTCTCATTCTGACCTCCGCTCCACTGTCTTGCAAACAGAGCCGGCGTGCCAACTGTATGTGGGTGGATTCCTGGACGGGCTCGCGGGCAAGGGCAACAAGGTCTGTTAGCAGTGCATCACGTGGTTCCCCACTGCCCAACCACACAAACACACACACACACACACTTGTTTGCAAGTAAGCATGCCCCTCTGTTCATCCCTGCCCCGTGCTCGCTTCACATGCATCTCATCCTCACCCCCACTCTCCTCACGCACGATCATAATGCCAGTCGTACGACCAATACCACGGGTTTTGCCTGGAGACGCAGCACCCACCAGATGCCGTCCACCACGCGGCGTTTCCGTCCATCATCCTCCAGCCAGGACACACGCGCACATCAACCACCATCTTCGCCTTCACAACCGCCGCCCCAGCCACAGCTGCATCTGTGTGATGTCATGTGACAAGTTTTCGTGTGAGTGCCGCGCAATTCACATCCGTCTCGCTCATCTCTGTTATTTTCTTGCGGTTTCTGCTGTTGGTGCTGGTGGTATGAGTGTCGTTTACTACTGTCTGTGTGCTTTGTACAGCGTCGTGTTACCATCGCATACATTTTCCACAAGTATGTGAGTGAGTGTGAGTGAGTGCGTGTGAGTGTGTGAGCGTGTGTGTGTGTGCGTGTGTGATTGCTATGGCCGTATTGGTGGTGGTTTTTCTTCGTGACTGAGGGACTCGACCAACTGCTTCGTTTCTTGCGTCAGAGCGTGGTTGGCGCCTGCCACGTTGTGTGTGGTGCGTGCGTGTGTGTGTGTGTGTGGTGCGTGTGCATGTACGTGTGAGAGTGAGTATGTGTGCGACAGCAAGTGGGCAAATAAGGTACAGGCACAGGCACAGGCACACAGACGCACATGCACACACACACACACACATGTCTCCAATCCCCCTGCTGGACCTTTTGCGTGGCGGAGCGCCTCATGTCGTTCTTGGAAGCAGGCGAGGGCGCTGTCGTTGTCACCCTGAATAGCAGGAACATGCCGCACACGTTAGACCGTATTGACGGAGAGAAGTTTACACACACACACACACACACACACACACACACACACACACACACACAGAGCACAGCTGTCCAGCCATTGTCCTGCAGCACACACCACGGCGAGGTAGAGACTGCCGAGAAAGTGGCAGACGTTTGCGGTGCGCAGTGAGAACTGTCCAAACTTGGCCATCACACGCTCCTTCACGTCCGAGAGCAAATCAATGGCCTCTTGTCGCCGATTCTGCCGCACCAGCACACGCGCACGACTTTCCTGTTGGGGAAAGTGGGCATGTGTGGGTTTGGGAGGGGTGGGGGTGTTGGTTCGTGGTTTCGAACGGGGAAGAGTGCAAAGTAGGCACGCACGCACAAGAGACAAGGAGTGGCGGTGTTGCGACAACCACACATGTGTACACAGACACAGACACACGCACAGGAGCAGTTGAACGAACCTGGATGGACAGAATTGTGTTTGTGTGTGCATCAAAGTCATGTGCAAGCACCTGCAACAAGCAGCCAATGCACACATGTGAAATAAAGAAGAGACGCGAAACAAAATGACAAATATGAGGGTACGTGAGGATGTGCAACGCTGTGAGTGAAGATGAGTGCAATGCTGTATGGGACCATTCAGCACATGCAATGCCATTCGACAATAACCACCACCACCAAGTAAGGCAGCAGCCGTCGGTGCCTTACGTCCAATGCCTTTGCAAAGAGCGTTTCGGCCTCAGCAAGGTTGTCCTGCGCAGCGTGCGCCTCAGCCAATCGAATCCAGCACTGCACCTTCGCGTCAACCGGCTGCTTGCTCTGGCAGAAGGGAGACAGATGCACGGAAATGTATGAGCATGTGGGAGAGTGTGAGTGCGTGTGTGAGCGCCTGCGCGAATACGTGGTTGTACACATCCGTTTTCTCTCCATGGGCTCGAGCGCAGATCACAGGGCGTGCAAAGCAATGTGTGTTTCCAGGAACACACACACACACACACGCACACACATGCATAAGTCTGCAATGCTCACCTCCTCGGCGATGTCGCAGGCGTGCTGAAGGAAGGCGACTTGCTTCGATGCTGCGGCAGTGTTCTCAGCTATATCGTGGCAACCATACGTTGTGTATGCGTGTCAGCGAGAACAGAACCATGAGAAAAGTGTTCAACGCACACACACACACACACACACACACACACACACAGCCAAAGAATGCATATGCACACACACACACGTCACGCACACACACGTACACACACACGTCACGCACACACACGTACACACACACGTACACACACACACACACGTCACGCACACACACGTACACACACACGTACACACACACACACACACACGCACACACACACACACACGCACCTAGGGCGGTGTAAGCGAGGATGGCGAGCGGGGGATCAGAGGAAGCGACAGCGCGGGTGTCCAAGATGTGCTGCAGTTCAGACGCTTCCGTTTCTGCGTCCGCTGTCTTGTCCTGCTGCATCAGTGCACGGCAGAGATACACCCGTGCTCGCACTTCCTCGCGGTCCAGTGCTGCCGTTCCCTGATTATCCACGTCAGCTGTTTTGGCGGGCGCCTTTGCCGATGCGGCTCGCGATGACGAGGATAGCGACGAGGCTGACGCAGAGGCGGTGGACTTGGTACGCCCGGCTGCAGTTGGTGATTTAGCGCGTCGTGCTGCCTTGCCCTTCTTGCTCGCAGAAGGTCTGGCCGTTGCGTCCTTCTCCAGGCGATGCTTGGAGACGGCCTGGGTAAGATGAAGGCTTCGACGCAGCGCCTTGACGGCTTCTTCAGCCCTGTTGAGCTCCACGAGCGCCTGGCCCATCAGGCAGAGGGCGGATGCCGCCAGCGCTGCCAGCTGGTGGCGGTGGAGGTGGTGCTCTGCTCTGTGTTGCTTGAGGTGGGCGTGCATTGCCTTTGCCCGCTGTCCATGGTCCAGCGCCTGCTTGGGGTAGTTGAGGAGCTCAAAGTACGCGCGCCCCAAGGTGATGTGACCCTGGGCCACGGCGATGTGTTCTCGCCCATACACGAGCTTTGTCAGCGACAAGCGCGTGATCAGCGTGTGCACAGCGTGCCGAAAGTTCCTGCTTGCGACCAGCTCCGCATACGCCTGCTCGCAGGCGACCAGCTGCACGTGGGGTGGCCTCATGTCCACCAGTCGCCCGTCTCCGGCATTTGTGATGCCAACGGGAACACGCATGCCTTCCTCGTTTGCCGAGTCTGCATCGCTGCCGCTGCCGCAGTCTCCTGCGCCCACCACATGACTGCGCCCCAGCTGCTCCAATGCGTCCTGTCTCAGCGCAGCGTCTATCACATACGTGTGTGTGTGTGTGTGTGTGTGTGTGTGGGTGGGGTGGGGTGGGGATGGGGATGCACGAATGAGAGGTTTTGCGGATGCGTGCATTGGTAAATGTGTATGTACATGTATGTACATGTATGTGCATGTGTGTCATTTATGTGTGTGTGTGTGTGTGTGTGTGAGTAGGCGTTCAAGGGCACACTGTCAGCAGGCAGCAAGGACATAATCTGCCCACAGCCACGCATGCAGCACAAACTCACAAGCAGCGTCGCTGGAAGTCATGCCCATGACGCCGCCTTGCAAATCCTCCTTCTCGTCATCGCCAAGCACTGTGCTCACGGCATCGTCCTCCTCATCGTCATCATCCTCCACCACCACCTTCCGCCTTCTCCTCACCCCTCCTCCTCCTCCTCCTCCTCCTCCTCCTCCTCCTCTTTGCCTCGTCGCGTCCTTCCCGCGACCACCCCACCGCTGCATCATCATCGGCCTTGGTAACGGTTGCAAATTATGCTGTCGGAACGCCATATTCTTCGCCACCTGCTCGTTCGCACACAACAACCCACGTGTCCTCATCACCATCCATCACCATCAATCACCACCACCACCACCGCCCGTTCATTGCCCCCTGATACTTCACGACCACTAGCCCGCAACACACACACACGCACACACACATCAGTATTAGCCAAGATGGCGACGTTTGTGTGTTCGCTGGAGGACAAACCGCTCGGGAAGAAAGGGTACCTGCTGCACGCGGCGTGCTCGGGACCGCACATTGCAGTAGCAGGGACGTCTCCCAACATTGCCGTGCACAACGTGGAAACGCAGCAGCGCCTGGTGCTGAAAGGCCATGAGGCCGACGTGGTGGGGCTGAGCTTCGACCCAGCGTCACCAGCACACCTGTGGTCTGCCAGCCGCGACGGAACCGTCAAGTGCTGGGACATTGCAGAGAAGACATGCGTGCGCACCGTGACCGTTCCGGATGACAGCACCCCGTCAAGCTTTGCGCTGAGCTCGGATGGAGCGTGCTTCGCCGTCGGCTGCGAGTTGAACCACATGCGGGACGCGCCCGTGTACATCTTTGCCGGAGGCCTCCAGGGGCCCGACAGCCCGCTCGTGTCTCTCAAGAACTGCCACAGCGACGACGTTGTCTACATTGCGGCCTCAGATGCCACAGCGCAGAGTGGCAGTGGGGAGGCGCTGCACCGCTTCGCCACAGCATCCACGGATGGCCTGTGCAACGTCATTGATGCAGACGCGTGCCTTGAGTACGCACAGCGCCGCGGCGATGGCGTACAAGGAGGCGCACTGGAGAAGGGTGAGCAGGACCAGGCAGACGGGGACTTTGATGATGCCAGTGTCATTGTTGTCACCATCAATGCAGACCACTCTGTGAAGCGAACCGGGTTCTTCGGGCCGGCGCAGGAGTACGTGTACTGCATTACACACGACGAGACGCTGTCGTTCTGGCGCGTCCCAGACCGCAAGGCGAGCGACATGGACATTGATGACCAAGACGAGAACAACAGCGACGACGATGACGACAACGACCTTGTCTTCCAGCTTGATGAGCCGCGTGCCATCCTTGTGGCTGCGGGGCTACCCACCGATTATCTGATTGACTGCTTCTACGATGCTGCATCTGGGCGCTTGTTTCTTGCTTCCGGCAGCGACGACGGCCACGTCCACATCTCGCACATTGGACAGGTACATGCGCAGTAGTGTGTGCTTGTGTGTGTGTGTGTGTGTGCTTGCGTGTGTGTATAAGATGGTGTGCGTTGTGTGTGTGTGTGTGTGCGTGTGTGTATGTGATGGTGTGTGCGTTGTGTGTGTGTGTGTGTGCGTGATACATGCACGTCTGTGATGCTGGTAGTTCGCACCATGATCAACTGAACGTGTTGTGCTGGTCTGGCGCATGGGGCGGGTGGTCTCAGGGTCAACTGGTGCCGCTTTGTGCGCTGCCTCACGTCCACAAGGACCGCGTACGGAGCTTCAAGTGGATGCCCGAGGTGTGTGTGTGTGTGTGTGTGTGTGTGTGTGTGTGTGTGTGTGTGTGTGTGTGTGTGTGTGTTCGTGCTTGTGTGTGCGTGATTGTTCTAGGCTCGCGTGTATTGCTGCTGCGCTGTGGCCCTGTAGCGGTGCGCTGCTCTTGCAGGCGTCAACCCGGCCAGCACATGCTCACACCCCCCTTCCTCGTCATCTTGAATGCTTCAGGCTGGCGGAGCTCTTGCAACGACGGGGGAAGACGCAACCATGTGCATCTTCACATCGTGACGGCGTGCCCACCGCCACCATTGAGTTGATGTTGTGTCAATACAGGCGCGGGCGCGTGTGCACAGCAAGCATTGTGCATGTCATGTTGACTGATTGTGATGGATGATTGATGTGGGGAGGAGGGTTCTGTAATGCTTCAAAACGGGTGGTTTTGTTTGGTGGGTCAGTCAAGTGTGCATGCGCATGCATGCGTCCACACCACGCTAACAGTGGGGAACAAAGCAATTGCCATTTCCAGGAAGCAAGTAGAACCAATGAGAAGCGGAGGGTGAAGTTACAACTGAGCACTCAAAGCAACACGGACACAAGAAGGGGAATACAAAACGGGGGTTGTGGGGTTGTGATGACCACACTCACGCACACGCACATGCATCCAAGCCAACCAAACAACGAATGAGCGAGCACCACAACACGCAGATGGAGAAGTTCTCTGATCAACCGACACCAACAGCAGCAACAAACACACATACACACATGCGAACAACGACAGTTGGCACACGATAAGTCTGTGTAGAACACCCACACGGGCGCATGCAGAGATGTCTCGATTCCAAACAGATGTGATGAAAAAAAGAAGGGACAAGTGGTGTGTGTGTGGGTGTGGATGTATGTGCTCGCGAGGTGAGTGAAGAAGGGCAGCGGTGGTTAGGACTTGTAGTTCTGGGAGAGCCAGGTCAGGCCTTCTTGCAGCCCTGCGCCAGTCGTGGCCACACACGGTTGTACATACCTACACGCGTATGCACAGTGTTGTGAAGTGGGATGAGGCTGGAGTTGCGCTGAAAAGGAGAGGAAGAAGAAGAGGAGGAGGGGAGCAGATGGAGGGGCAGAGAGGGAGTTTCAAATACACACACACACACACACACACACACACACACAGACAGACAGACAGACAGACAGACAGACAGACGCACAGACGGACACAAATACACAATCAGACAGACAGACACACACACACACACACAGACAGGCAGACGCACAGACGGACACACATACACAATTAGACAGACAGACAGACAGACAGACAGACACACACACACACACACACACACAAGGCACACGCCACACGCACACCCACACATCCCCCTTCCAAAGCATGATGCACAAGGTGTCTCAACTGACCAGACTCGGTCGCGGAGGCGGTTGAGGCCGAGCTTCTCTGGAATCTCCTCGGGGGTGAGGGCGCCGTGAAGGTCCTGCTTGTTGGCAAAGATGAGAATGACGCAGTCAGACATCTCCTGGTCGTTCAGGATCTTGTGTAGCTCTCGTCTCGCTTCGTCAACACGCTCGCGGTCTGCGCAGTCGACGACGAAGATGAGGCCCTGGGTCCCCGTGTAGTAGTGCCGCCACAACGGCCTGATCTTGTCCTGGCCACCGACATCCTGGTAGCATGCCCACGGTCAAGCGTGCACGGCAAGTTAGCAGTGGCAAGGGAAAAATGGACGAGTTGGGGGAGAAAAGCAAAGAGGTAGAGAGAGGTAGAGAGAGGTAGAGAGAGGTAGAGAGAGGTGGCGGTAGAGGTAGAGAGGCGAGGGCAAAGGGAACGAGTTGACAGCAGCAGCCATGGTTAAACAACACCACACCACGATTGACACGATGCACGCCAGAGGCAGACATGCGGAGGTGTACAGCCATGCGCGCACAGTCACCCATGCACGCGCGCACAATCATACATACGCACCCAAACGTTGAATTTGACGTTCTTGTAGGAGACGGTTTCAACGTTGAAGCCGACCGTCGGGATGGTGGTCACAGACTGGCCGAGCTTGAGTTTGTACAGGATGGCTGTCGTTGTCAACCACACAGGTGCACAGAGAGAGAGAGAGAGAGAGGCACACAGACACAGGCACAGACACACACGACAAATGTCAGAGTTGCAGGCGAGTGTGAGCGTGCGCAGCAACAAAGTCCTCACAGCCACCTCGACGATACAATGCGCGCCCAGACGTGCAGCCAAGGGCTAGTCAAACAAGCCTGACTCACTTGTCTTTCCCGCCGCATCAAGGCCGAGCATCAAGATGCGCATTTCCTTGTTGCCAAACAGCTTGCGGAGTTTCGCGCCCATGGCTGAGATGACACACAAAACAATCATGGCCTGCGTGAGAGATGGAATGCACAATAATACGTGCACGCACGCACACACACACACACACACACACACACACACACACACACACACACACACACACACACACACACACACACACACACACACAGATCCGAGTTGCAATCGGAAGCGGTGGCATTGAGGTCTTTGCGTTTGCCCACACTTGTCTCGCAACCGCCCTGCTCTGTGGTCTCGCAACATGACACACATTGTGCCCTGTCCTCCAGACAAGCCCAAGCAGCACAAGCGCCAGCTTGCTCACCTGGTGTGTGTGTGTTGAGTCCTATCGAAGATGGAAGCTGGTGGAGGTGCTGTTCACACAGAAAATACCCCGGCACAACAGAAAGGGAGGCGAGAGGGCTATTTCGATGGCTGACTCGTTGGTTCGCTGGCCGATCAAGAAGAAGGAGGACAGGTGTCGGGCTGGTGGTGTTTGACACGATTGAGGATGGGTGGTGTGTCTGTGTGTGGGATGTGTCGCGTTGGCTGGTTTGCTTGCTTGCTTGCTTGTGGAAAAATCGTTTTTGGTGCGCAGCAGCAAACGCCCCCAAAAATACAATGCTGATTATTATTTAAAGATATATACAAATCATCGGTTACGATAACAATCAAATTATGCTGTGGTGGCCTGGTTTTGGTCGGTGTGTTGTGTTGTGTGTGTGTGTGTTTGTGTGTGTGTGTGTGTGTGTGTGTGTGTGTGTGTGTGTGTGTGTGTGTGTGTGTGTGTGTGTGTGTGTGTGTGTGTGTGTGTGTGTGTGAGTGTGTGAGAGCGCGACCCCCCCCATCGAACCCCCTACACCAGCCTTCGACACGCTTCATTCATCTCCGTCTAATTCTTTGTGTGGGCGCTTACTACTTGCAGTTTATGTGTGTGCTCCCCCTTCTTGTCCGCCACAAAGCGCATCTTTTGGGGATTCTACGCCAAACGCCGGACCAGCCTCCAGTTAAAACGC